AGTTTTATCACAACGTGAAATGTCAGAACTGGTTTGGTCCACCTCTGAACCTCAATCTAACTGGAGAACTGAAGATTGCGGTAGTGCATGCATTTTGCTATTGGGGCAGCTACATCTCACGTGGAGGAAGAATCACGAATGGATTGTCGGCTCGCATGCAGGAGGCTCGATTGACGTTTGTCAACCTACGTCATCTCTGGCACTGTCTGGGAACGGTGGAGAATATGCTACAGTAACTCTATCAGTACTGCTGTGTGGCACAGAACTGAGATAGACGACTTACGAAATTAACTGCCTGCGGCGAGCGGAAAAACCATATTGAGGTTAAGAGTAGAGTTTTAATCAATCACTATTACCCAATGGTTCAAATGGTCGATCTCCACAGATTACGTTGGACGGGGAATACGTTACGCATTGCACCAAATAGATGGCGAGCGTTGTTTACCGAGACAGGTGGGGATTGGGTGGGTGGGAAAAAGTAAAGGAGAGTCAAACTAAGAACTGGTATAAGGATATAAATATTCTGACCGTGAGACTCGTTCATATGGTCTCGTCAGACTTCGATAATCATTGTTATCATTGATTAGAGACACGGTGATATAGCTGCGTGTTGTAGACTGTGGCGCTCGTTCATTTACTCATTGCAGCTTTTGTCTTCCTCCCCCTTTTCTCTCCGGTCAGTGTCACAGGCACATTTTCACATGAAAGTGACAGGAGCATGTATTATGGTCTATGTATGTCAAATCTTCTGGATCTCGATTTTCATCTGTTCGAACGTCTCCATCTATTGATCTGTCTATTGGTTATGAGAAATATCCCGACTGCTAGTCAATACTTTCGTCTAGTCTGCAACCACTGTATTGCCTATCCATAGGGATTGGGATCACTGCTTATGGACAGTTCAATCATTTAAACAAACATCTCTGTCACGATTTTAAACCTCGCAGAGCTCCTTTTAAAATCAAAATCATTAAATTTGGACTATGGTCTGATATCGCCAATCTGGTCTGGCCAACTGGTCGGCTATATACTCCACCGAAAAGACGACCGTAGGTTTATTCTGATTCGTTTGTAGTCTCTTCACCTAGACACGGCGGTGAGCGATTCAAAAAGAGGAACTACCTCGAAATGTAGCCTCTGCAAGTTTATAAATGTGGATTTTTATTGTGGTTACCTGGGACACTTACAGTACACCATATATACATTCCGGTCTGTGGTTCTTGATTATCAAATTACAGTTTCTGACAGATTTAACTGGGTCGAAAAAATGGAATAGGTACAGCTTTTGGCTCGTTGAGGGATGAATATAATGTCGAAAGGGCTTCAACATTTGATTGATTTTCCTTCTCACTCTTTGTGATAACATTTTTGCATGAAAACTTAGCAACAGACCCACGCCATTCGGAACTAAATACACAGTAGAACCTTCGAGCGCCGATTTTGTATGTCATGACTGCGGGGTTGTCAGTCCTAGGAGCACCGACAACAAGGCTTGAACGATTTCAATCCTCTTTATCAAATTGAAATCTTGGTTCGTTTCGTCAGAATGCAAATACAGTTTAAATTATGAGTTAAGTCAGTTCCTTTGTGTTGTGAGACACAGTATCCATTTGTGGTAAATACTCCTTCAAAGTATGAAATATTTCAAATTCCAGATTAATCCCATTGCAACATTAGAACACAAATTCAAAGGCGAAGACATTGTTTTCGAATGATTCATAATCATGCCTGTATAGATGATAAATGAGGTTTGTTGTCAGTGGGGATACATTTTCACGCTGGGTCGAAAGGTCATTTGGGATGGGAAAGGTGTGTGGGGGGGTAAGCTCTATGTATCTAACCCGAACACACTTCATCCGTCACCCCAACTGAAGTATTTGTTGGGCGGTAATTGTTCGAAGAATTGCTCTATTCTGTAGATTTCAATGTGGCTTGCTGGTGGAAATTTTTTTCCCGATTGACACAGCCTCGATCGGTAAAAAACTGATAGAAGGCTGGATTAGGTATGATCAAAGGCTGAGAAGCTACAATACACGGGCAGAAACCGCATCCCATTGATGCGTCTCTAGATAGTGAGTGAACCTTGGATCGATCAAACCGAAAATCTGGTACATCTGAATGTGCTGATTTGTGCTTTTTGATGCAGGAGCAAACTGTTCCCGGAGAATAATTCATGTTTGTATGTCGATTGAAAAGTTCAGTAGCCTCGGTGGGATTCGAACCCAGGCATGGACACCGCCTACGCTTTGTACGCGCATGCCCTACCAGCTGAGCTACGAGGCCATGCTGAACTTTTCACAATCGACATACAAACTTCAACTCTGCAAAACAACTATTTGAACAATAATTCATGTGCTTTTTCGCACCTGAATTCAAGAAGTGGATGAGATCACGATGATACACAATCCGTGCACGTCACTGTGTTTGCGCAAGTTCCTGCGTCGTTTTCTCACTACTCATAAGTAGTAACAAATCCAACTACACCCTAGAATAATGTGTCATGGTACGCAACAGTCTGATGTTTTACTTTTGGCATCTTAGATTTGGAAAAAGATGGTATGTTGGAATAAGTAAAGTGAGAGTTTGTTTATTGGTGACTCATCTCTCTTATGCCAGAGATTTGACACAGAAGTAACTAATGGATAAACGGTACATGAGCGAATTTACAGACACTTGCTAAGTGTAACGGACATGTATTATTGAAGATATAAGTGTTCGTGTGTAAAATAGGATTTCTTTCAGGTTGGAGTTTATCACCAGAGTGTACAGAAGATGCAACTATTTGTCAAATTATTACAGTTCGGATGTACTTCAGAGATTTATCCAGCAGTATATCCCAAATTAAAAATTTTCGAGTAAGTCTCATGGCTTTCTAAATAATCCGATAGTGTAATCGCCCCTCATTGATCCACTCATCAGTTTCACCGTTCCTACGTCAACACGGAGCATTGAACTGGAGTAAACTATGTATGCCAAATGCATGAGAGTAAACACCGACGCAAATTTAAAGTGAACATTTATTTATTTGTATTTTCACTCACCAAACAAATCACGATGCAATCATGTCTATAAAAGGTTCATGATGTGCTCGGAGGCACGATGTCCCTAGGTTGCCCAAACCAAAGCAGGCGAATTTCTCTTAGGGAATTCCCAATTGCAGCCTTCACATGATCAGCAAGGCCATTGAGTGGAAACCGCACTCCTCCCTTTGGACAGAGTGAAATTTTCAAAGTGCCCAATACACCTCGATGCTCAATGGCGCCGGTAACCAACCACTACCACTACCACCACCACCGGTGGTTTGTTTGCCTATTCTTGGTTGGTTCTGAATCAAAGATTTTAGCCAACTCCTCTAGATGAAATGCTATGGGATCATCTACCTCAGTGTAACTTGTGATATTGGCTTTTCCTCCTCTCACCTGATGAATTCGTTATTATTTCCATGCCAATCAGTTACTATAGTTAATTGGAGGAAAATTCATTAAATCCCAATTGGTTTCAAGAGTGAAGCCCGCAAAATAAGAAACTCACTCATGGTTCGAAACAACTGATTACATCGTACATGTAAGTTATAAAAAAAGTTACCAGCATACTACAAATGTAGCTTTGAGGAATCTGTGTTCTTTGGTTTTTGGTCGACAGTAAAAACTGGTATTGGGAGCCCTGAATGTTACTCACAATAAAATAAGCCCAGATTTGGTACACATTTCGCGCTGGTCAAAATTTTTGGATTATTTTCACTTCCAGATGCACAATTATCATCATGAATTTCATTTT